AAGGTGGAGGGTCAGAGAGAAAGAGGAAGACCCCCAATGAGATGGATCAGCCAGGTGGCATCGTTGATGGACTCAAGTGTGGCAGCGGTAGTGAGGTTGGCCCAGGATGGGACATTGTTTCGTTCTGCTGTGCATGGGGTCGCTATGAGTTGGTTCCGACTCGATGGCACCTGACAACAATAGTGGTTTTGAAACCCTAGGGTTGCTATGAGTTGGAAGCAATGCCAGAGCGACAAGTATAGGTGGTTCTGTGCCACAAAGTCGGTCCCGACTCACAGCAACCCTGTATAGTGTTTCTGAAGCTATAAAACTTTATGGGAGCAGAAAACCTCATCTTCCTCCCACAGAGTGACTGGTAGATTCAAACTACTAACGTTGCAGTACATTTTTCTTGGATTAACCATCAACACTCATGGAAGACGCAGTAAAGAAATCAAACGACATATTGCATTACGCAAATCTTCTGCACAAGACCTCTTTAGAGTGCTGAAGAACAAAGATGTCAGTTTGAGGACTTAGGTGTGTCTGATCCAAGCCATAGTATTTTCAATAACCTCATATGCACGTGAAACTTGGACAGTGAATAAGGAAGACAATAGAAGACTTGATGCATTTGAGTTATGGTGTTGGAGGAGAATACTGAAAGTTGTATGGAATGCCAAGAGAACAAACAGATCTGTGTTGAAAGAAGTACAGCCAGAGTGCTCCTTGGAAGCCAGGATGGCCAACCTTCATCTCTTATACTTCGGACATATTTTCAGGAAGGACCAGTTACTAGAGAATGATATCGTGGAGGGCCAGAGATAAAGAGGAAGACCCCCAAGGAAATGGATTGGCACAGTGGTGGCTGCCAACGGGTTCTGGCATATCACCGATTATGAAGCTGGCTCAGGACCGGGCAGTGTTTCATTCTGTTGTGCATAGCATCACTATCAGTTGGTACCAACTCAATGGTACCTAACAACAACAACCTATGGTTAGCAGTCCAGCCAGTAATCCACTCTATCAGGACTACGGAGTCTTCGTTTGGCACTGTAGGATAAGCACTTGACTGAATCATTGTTTTGAACCACAACATGAGCAGTTCAAGCTAACAAGCTGCTTCTTGAAACCCCTATACAGGGTCACTGTGGGTCAGAACCGACTCAAGGGCACTTAACAACAACAACCAGGACTATAGGTACCAAGTGGCCACATAGGTTTCTTAAACTTCATTTCTTTTTTTAGGATATAGCGAAAACACTAAATTCTAGACACACCATGTAATGAACTAAATATTCAGAAAGTTAATGTCCCTTATTCTTAAAAGCCAAAGGAGAGAAAAGATTCAAGTTGTTCATTGTTCAGGTTTCCATTTTACTTGGATCAACAATGAACAAGGAGTTCAAATGACAAACTGCATTGGGCAAATTCGCTGCAAAAGATCTCTTTGAAGCGTTAAAAGGCAAAACTATCACTTTGATGAGTAAGGTGCACCTGACCCAAGCCATGGTATTTTCAATCGCCTCATGTGAAGGTGAAAGCTGGGCAATGTTCACGGAAGACTGAGGGAGAAAATGGACAGCCAGTATGTTCCTTAGCAGCGAGGATGGTGAGAGTTCATCCTACTCACAGGAGTAACTCATACCTGGAGAAAGACATCATGTTTGATAAGGTCAGAGAAAAAAGAGGAAAAGCCTCAACGAGATGGACTGGAAGTGGCTGAAACAACGGGTTCAAGCATAGGAACGATTGTGAGGATGATGCAGTGTTTCGTTTTGTTGTACACAGATAGGGTCACTATGAATGTTATAACAAAAATAACATATAATAACAATACTATATCATCACATTATAATAACAATAATATATCATCACATTATAATAACAATAATATCACATTATGCTTCCTAAAAAGAAGGAGGTTAAGACTTCATATTTTTATGTTTTCTTTTTATAATAAACCCTTGTGGCACAGTGGTTAAGCACTAGGCTGCTGACCAAAAGGTCACTGGTTTGAACCCGCCAGCTACTGCACAAGAGAAAAACAGCTGTCCACTTCCAGAAAGACCACAACCTACATGTTCTGGAGGCCTGGTGTGGCGCTGTGGGCTAATGCGTCAGACTGCAAAACCGTTTGAACTGCAAGGTTGGTGGTTCAGGCTCACCAGCTGCTCCTTGAAAACCCCATACAGAGTCGCTATGGGTCGGAATTGACTCGATGGCACTTCACAACAACAACACAGGGTCACAACAACAAGTCAGAATTGACTTGACAGCAGTGGGATTTTTATTTAGGGGGTTCTGGTACTTTATTTTGGGGTTTGTTTTTTATCTTCAATAGTGCCTTTACCCTTCCTCCAAGCTTCTCCTCCCCCAAGAAATGAATCAGAACCACAGAAATTTAGGTCTGAGTGAGCTTCTTGAGACAATCTGGTGCAGCCTCTAATTTTACCCAAGAAGAAACTGAGGTCCATGATGTTTGCCAAAAGCCCCATGACACCGAACATAGATGTCCCCTATGTTCCTCCAGGATTGGAGGAAGACTCATTAACGACCTGCGATATGTAGATGATACAACCTT